TAAAGAATAACTCCATTATAAAAAAAAAAAAAAAGCTGTGTCTTATTCACAGGGTTAACATTTTACTATTTAAAACAGATTAAAGTATAAAAAACCGTTTTAAGTATAAATCAGGTTTTTCTTACAATAAATCAAAATGAATTAATGAAAGAAACCCAACTTGTCTTTTTTTGAGTGAAAAACCCAACTTGTATTTATATATTGTGTACTAACACTTATAACAGTGAGTTTGAACATGATCTCAGATTTCTATCTTCATTAATTCAAAACACGCCCCCAACTACCACTCACTGCAACCTAAGACTATTCCACTCTAAGAAAGACATCTAAATGCAAAAAACTCAAAACATAGCACAATACCAAGGACGATTCATGAAAACAAAGAGCATAAGATCCGAGCAGGATTTGATAACCTAGAAAAGAGACTGAGAGAATCCAAAGTAGGAGAGGTGCCAAGTAACAGATTTGGCTTTCAGGATCAACTTGAATTGTTTGGATTTGGACATTCCCTTGCAAAATGCCCAGATTCACCACAGTTGTAGCAAGCGCCACCACTGCCGTACCTTCCGCCTCCACCACCACCACCACCACCGCTCTGGGAACAGTCCCTCGCCATATGCCCGTGCTCACCACACTTAAAACACCCACTACCACCACCGCCGCCACCACCACCACCACCGTAGCCGCTACCACCACCATAGCCGCCCCCGCCATACCCTCCTCTCCTCCCACTACCACCTCCATAACCACCGCCACCACCATACGAACCACCGTACCCACCACCGCCGCCGCGAGAACCAGATCTCGAGGTGCCACGAACAGGGTTCCCGTTCGGGCCAGTGACGTCAACAGCCTTGGTTCGCCCATCATCACTAGACTCGATCACAAACTCGACCTGCTCCCCCTCCCCAAGGCTACGAAAGCCCTCGGAGCGGATGGAAGACTGGTGCACGAACAGATCATCACCGCCATCATCAGGGGTTATAAACCCAAAACCCTTAGTGTCATTGAACCACTTAACCTTGCCACTCACCCTCTCACCCATCACTCAAAACCTCCGATCGAAATGATTTTAAACCCCAAACACACACAAACACCCCCAAAGAAACCCACGGATTTTCTTCCTCCTGAGAAAATTTTGGTGGTTTCGGTAGGATAAGGAGAAGTGGGTACTTTATATTGCAGAGGATGCAAAGGGTGTGAGTGACACGTCAGTATAAAAAATATATATTAGTACTAATAATAGTACTATTATTACTCCTAATTGGAAATGAAATTGAATTTATATGGTACTGTTTTTCGATTTCCTGGATATCTTTGGGTTTTGGAGAAAAAAGAACATCAAGCGGAGCTTTCTATGTTTTGTTTTCTCAGTTTAGGAATCGAAGCGACGGTTTACTGTGATCGGGTTGGGGTGTAGGAGTGGTGTAATTGTAACAATTGGATTAGGGGTGTCGCTAATGGCTAAAAGCCTGAAACATCTGGCTCGGATTGTAGTATTTCCGTCCCAAGCTATGGTCATGATATATATATATATATATTTTTTTTGTGGCTGAGAATTCAATG